CCATCTGAGGGTGACTTGCCTTCTTTGGGCTTTCAAAAGTTACCCGCCTCAAAACATGCCTTTTTGGGCATGAATTTTCGGCGTGCTCTTAGACTTCAATGCGCAAATTGGTGCGCGCAGCTGCCTTGTGCTCTTTGTCATGCTGGAGGTGATGGCGACCCCCAGTATGTTGAGTCGTTCTGGGCTTCTTCATCGGGCCCAAACGCTCGTGAATTGGAGCTTTGCCTCTCACGTCAGGAACTGGACCGAGGCGCTCCAAAATTGATTTCTTCTTGCGGGATGACTCTGCATGATCTCCCGGAGAAGTTATTGGGATTGACGGCGACTTTGGTTGACTCGCCGGAGTTTGACCTTCCTTAGAAGGCTGCACTGGTTGCTTTTTGGCCTGAGTCGCCACTTCAGACTTAGGCTTCCAGACTTGGCGCGTTGGTGGTGGCTTCTTCTCCACCTCCTTTTGCAGTCTTCTACGGGCTTCCTGAGCTTGAGCCCGTGCCTGCGCTGACATCGCGCGGCGCTTGCGAATACGCTCTTCAAGTGTCGAACGGTTCCGTTTGACGCGGACCCATTCGTTCTTTGGCGGCTTGGAAGAGTCGCCATTCATTGGTGGTTGAGGCTGTTTGCCTCTTCTGTTCTTCAACTCCGCGTGGTAGCGGAATCCGTCCGTAGACTCCATCGCCTTAGCGAGTTGCCGCGCAAGGCGTTGACGACGCCTCTGGCGGGCTCTCTTTGAGAGAGTCACAACGCCCTGAATAGTGGAGGCGTTGGCGGGAGTAGAGTTGACCTGGTTGGAGGTCGGTGGAATTTCATCTGACACGACTTTAGCGTCAGTTGGGTTGAGAGCTTCGTGGGCTTCCCGAGCAGCTTCAAACCAACGAGCTTTTCTCCCGGAGGAGAACTTCTTGGACTTGCGGGGGGAGATAGAGCCGGACGAGGACACGTACTCCTCGAACTTGGCTTGGTCGAACTCGTACTCGACCTCCTCCACGACCGGGATTGCAATCCGCGGCTGCGACGCATCGATCTCGTTGGCGAGATCGTCGGCTCCCACTGTGGTCGCCAGATTGTTCGCGTGGAAAACTGTTTTCTTTTTCATTGATATGATTGTCATCTTGGGTTACAAAGATCCGGTCTTTTATAGATCCGGTTACAACTAAATCAAAGAAAATAAAGAAAAATTACAACTCTCCTCTGTGAACAAATCACGAGCTCCTGTTTTGCGGTCGCTCGCTTTGGTGGGTTCTTTGCCTGCGCCGGGGTTAATCCGTGGACCACCGCGCGATCTAGATCCGGTCGGATCTACACGAGTATGCGGGTATTATTCCACGAAGGGAATAATAGCCGGGAGGGATTAATCCACCAAGGGAATAATCGCTCAGATCTCGAGATCTAAGACCAAGCTTAGATCTGGAGTGTAGTCTCGTGTAGATCTCAGATCTGTTCTTTCTTCCTCTCGAGATCCTGCCTTTTCTGACGTGGATGGTCGCCGAGGATCAGATCTGAATGGTGCAAGTCTTCTGGTCTTCAAGCTCCGAGTTCACTCTTCAATCCGGCAGAGTTTCGGCTCTTGAAAGTTCGACCCCTGAAAATGAACATCTCTAGGCCTATTTATAGGCTCTCAGGACAGTGGCTGCAAAAAGAGAATTGTCGGCCACCTCTGGCCACTGTCGGCCACCTCGGGCCACTGTCGGCCACCTCGGGGTGGCCGACACTGTGCCTAGCCACCTTGGGGTGGCTCGGCTCATGGCCGAGCCACCCCAAGGTGGCTCGGCCACCGAGCCACCCCGAGGTGGCTCGGC